GAGATTTTTGTTACAAATTTATTTAGGAAAACATGAAAATTTAAAAGTTTAATACCTACAAAGGCTTGAAATATTTATCTAACAAAATAATTACACCTTGAATTTTCTTTTTATATTATTTATTGACAATTGTAGTTTGTTAAACCTTAAAAATATATATAGAATAAATATAAATACATGAAATAAAAATTAAATTGATTATTTCATAAAATAATATTTCATTTATATTTTTTAACCATTTAATATCGATACAATTTTATTTTTCTAAAATTAGCCCCTGGATCAGGTGTTGGCTCTGAACAAGGTATAAGCTCAAGTTTTATTTTAACTAATCATAATTTTTATAAAAATGTTTGTTTTTTAAGTTTTTTAATCTGCATTTATATTTAGACAGTCATAATTTCACTTATTTAGGGAAAACATGAAAATCGAAAGTTTTTAACGTAAAAAAAAGACTTAAAATATTTATCATATAAAATAACTCACACCTTGATTTTTCTTTTTATATTATTTATTGACACTTTATCTTAAGTATTAAAAAACTTTGTAGTTTGTGAAACCTTAAAAATAAATAGAATGCAATAAAAATCTAATTGATTATTTAAAATAATGGTTAATTTATTATTTTCAATCATTTAATAATCGATTATTTTATTTTACTAAAATTAACAGATAGCATTAAAGAAGAATTTCATTAACTAGTCAATATATTTGTAAAATTGTACATTTTTTTTAAAATCTGCAATTAATCTAGTGATAAAACTTAATTCATAACTAACTCTCAAGATATTTCCCTAATCTATGCAAAGTTCATCATTGAATAAACTCAAAATTTAAATTGTCTTTATTTAATAACATATTAGATTAGTCATTACCCAATACCTTAAAATTTTTTAAATGAAGCTATGATATTTTAAGAAAAATAACACTTTATCCATTTGAATCCTCAACCTTACTAGGGTTAAATATAAAATTTATAACCTTTGTTGGAAAATCTTTAAATCAAGGTCGATAGCAGAATAACATTTCTTTTTCTTCTTTTGGCTAATGCTAGCATCTTTTCAGATTTTCTAAAGCTCCATTTGACTTTTATGTAACAGGCAAAAATTAAAAGTTTTATCTTTTTCAAAAATAAAATTATTTTATCTATTGAAAAAGGTATTTAATACTAATTAATTAAACAAAAAACTCGCAAAAGTAAACGAATTAAAACTCTGGATCTAGAAAAAAATTGTGAAACATGGAAGATGGAAAATTAATCAATAATAATTTTTAACTTGTTAGAAGAGACTTGCCTCTATATTTTTAATTGATTAACATTAATTTGTTTCATGAATACGTGAAAATTTAAAAGTTTTTTAGCTAACAAAGTTTTGCTTGAAAAAAATAAAAAATTCTTAAATTCCCTTTAATATTAATAAAATTAAAAAAAATTATTGTTTTTCCAGCCTATATAGAATAACCTACCTTATACATTTCAATAAATTTTCACAATATACTTTTGCCTATTTTACAATTTGGATGAGAAATATATATAGAAAATTGATGCAAATTAATAGTATTTTAAAATATCTTTTGCAAAATTATCTAAATTTTACAGTGTGAATACTCTATACTTTTTTTAAAAAAAAGTTCTCAATAATTTAAAATCAAGAGATTACGAATCCCGAGTTATATGTCCCAAAACGTCATTCATAACTTGACAATTGTTAACAAACACAAAATGACACCTTCAGCTGTCTCCTATCTACCATTTTAATCCATAATTACTCAGATAAAATTAATATATCAATGTCTTGTTTCGAATAAGCAAAGTCCTCTTAATAGAAAGGGTGGTTAACGAAATCCGAATTGAACATCCATATAATAATTATTTTTTTAAATAATATATTAGAATATTTTGAGAGATAAAGAAGTTTCTATGTTTGAAATTCAACCTTTATGGTTATATAAAAAATTTATAACAAAATCATTACAAGATCGATAGTAAATAACATTCCTTTTTTTCATCTATTGACTGACGTTTATATCAAGCATACAATTTTTCTCACATTTCACATTTTATTTATTTTTATTTAAAAAATTATTCTTATTAGTTTTGTTTTCTTCATTTTATGATTTTGTCTTAATAACACTTTAATTTATATTATAATAGGCACAACAACTACAACCACAGCGAGTATGATACATAGCTTTGTTCAAATAAAATAATTGATTTTCTTAATATTTAAATTTAAACCTATTGGCTTTATTTTGTAATAACGCAACGCTTGAACATAACGTTTTTACTCTAAAGGATGTCTTAGTTTTGTAATGAAAAAGTTTCATATGGTGGATATTTTAAAATGATAGATTATAACGTGAGGAAAATTTGAAATCGATATATACGTAGAAGAAATAATAGCGTATTTATCTTTGCTATGAATGTGATAAATAAATGTATTGGAATATATCTGCGAAAAAAATCAAAAATTCTTTTAAAGATATTTTAAGCAGCATTTGATTTTTTGGCTTGGGGAGACGAGGATCCCCCCCCCCCTTATATACTGCTTAGTTTAATGTAATATACCTACACTTTCAAATAAATTCTACAACATTTCATCCTCCATTTATTGGCCATCTGTCTTAATTATTTCAGAATACTCTGTTTCTTTTATAAATAACATTTTAATAAAAATTATTTTAGTCCCAGATACTTCAAGTAATATAAAGTTCTGATAAAAAATAATTTGATATATCTATAGAGAAATGCATATTATAAATCCATCAATATTTTTCAAATTAATATATTAAATTTTAAATCTAAATAACATTATAATAAAAATAATTTTATTCCCAGATGCTAAAAGTAATATAAAATTTTGATTAACAATAATTTGATATATATCTATAGAGAAATGCATTTTATAAATCCATCTATATTTTTTGAAACTTTAATAAAAATTATTTTAGCCCCAGACCCTTCAAGTAATATAAAGTTCTGATAAACAATAATTTGATATTAATTTATAAAAAATGCATATTATAAATCCATCTTTTTTTTGAATTAATATAATATTTATGACTGCTATTGTTGAAAGAAAGCTCCTTAGATAAAACCTAATTTAAAAAAATTGCATATATTCATATTCTATCATCTTTTTATCCTGCTCCAATTATTGCTATGTTCGTGCTTTTAAGCAACTTTGAATTTGAATTAGATATTATAAAATGCAATTTATTTTAAGTTAAATATAAATAATCTGTAATAAATGAGTCAACATTTTTATTTATTTCTTAATTTTATCTCCTCTACTTATAAATGTAATCTATTTATTATTACTAAATAGCAATTGGAATAAATGAAATAAAATCAAGAATGAATAGTAACACATTATTTTAAATTCAATTACAATAATTTTAATATCCTTAAATTGCGAGAAGTTTATTTTCGTATTTAAGGGAAACATGAAAAATTAATAGTTTTAAACCTAAGAAAAAGATATGAAAAATCTAAAGCATAAAATAACTTATGCTTTGAAATTTCCCTTTATATTTTTTATTGGCACATTATCTTGAGTATTGAAAAAAAAACTAGTTATAGTTTGTTAAACTTTAAAAAAAATTATACAGAATACATATTGAAATAAAAATTAAATTGATTGTTTATCATCGTTCTATGTAGTTATTGTGTCATTTGTTCTATCTTAATTCATCCTGACCTACGAAAAATAAAATCGTGGCCTTGAAAAACTCTTATAATTTAGAAAAAAATATCGATCAAAAAAGAACGTTTTATTTTTTCTTTTATATTTGCTTTAATCATTTAATTTTTTTTAAATGACCATATAATGTTCTAAATTAAAAGTTGAATGTCTATTTTAAATTATTTTTAGTCATTTTAGATAAAAAATCTCAAAAAATTAATGTTTTAAAACATTGAAATAAACTTTTTAAGTATTAACACTTAATTGATCATCTTCTTCATGATTGATTTTTTTTTAAAAAGATATCACGTCTTGATTTACTCCTCCTTCTCAAAATATTTTAACTCCCTACACTCCTTGTAATTTTAATCATCAGTAAGATATGTAGAAGCATATAGCTGTCACTCTTCTCACTTTTATTTGGATAATGCCCCTGATCTTTCAACTGCGCTCTCTCTCTTATTTAGTGTAAATCGATATAAATATATATGTGACAAAATTTTCTTAAGATGTAATATTTTTTTTCTCTCTCATCATATGAATTATCATATGTCTTGAGAAATGTCATATTGTCTTTTCCTTTAAATTTATTAGCTTTAGAGTCATGGATGTTAAACTTATGGCCAAAAAAGTAGCGCTCTACCATTACTTATCAAAAAAAATACCGCGCTATTAGCTGCCATTCTTAAAAAGTAGCTTGGCTACTTTTAAGCTAATTTTAAAAAAAAATTTACAAAAAAATTAATTTTATATTTTTTGTTTATAATTTAAAAATCAACATTTTTAAAAATATTTGAATTACATTTATTGATTATAAAAAAATTTATAAATCATGTTAATAAAAAATAGTTTTCTTATCATTCTTTCAAATTTTTGACATGAACATTCTAAAAAAATAAAACCAATATTAAAATTTAAAAATGAAGAATATAAGGTGTTGCCTTTTTGACAATTATCCCCTGCATTTTAAACACCTAAATTTATAGCCAACTTTTCCCCCATAAAATTGAAAACATTTATTAAATTTTGGAAAATGAAGGAAAATTGATATTATTGTTATCAAGATTTTCATCTTCATCAAGTGTAATTTCGTTAATATTATCTGTGTTTTAAATCACACATATACCCATTTTGTAAAAGTTTTAAATCTTTCACATATATAAATTTCAATTTATAAATTAAATAATAAAATATAATAATGGCTATTTGGCAAAAAAATGGCGCGCTCTTACCTTAAGCTACTATTTATTCATACTATATGCCCTTTTAAAGATGATATAATACCATAAATTGTAATTATATCTAATTATAGAATTTATAATATTGTATATGAGTCTACCCATTTAATCATAAATAATCACCATTTAAACCTAAATTTAGTATCATTTTTTATCTTGTGGTCCTCATCTGACACCTAATAATTTTGTCGAGGACATAAAGATGATAAATTCCCCTAAATGACCATTAAATTATTCGTGATTGTCAAAGAATTAAATCTTTATAAACTGTTCCATATAAATATCCCTAATCAGCCAGAACAGCTTTTGATCACATTGAGGATATTTTTAGTATATTTATTTAAGATTTTTCCTAATTATAATTTTTTAAAAAAAAATTTATTATTTTTAGAACTGACAAAAAATTTTATTCATGAAACTCGCAAGGTACATTAATTTTAACAAAATAAAAGCTGGGCATAATATATTATAAGTTTTTAAGTTAACTTCAAAATAAAAACAAAAAAATTTTATTTTTATTTTCAATAATATTGATAAATATATCTAGGCGGTCTTAATTCATCTGCTTCTAGCCTTGTTAAAAGATAATCATTCTCATTTTTAACTTTTTTAAAATAGGAGTTAAGTAATGACTTAGAAGGAAATCTAAAAACTATAATATAACCTTTACACGAAAATACTATATTTTATTAATTTGTAAAAATATAATTGCAATCACAATTTGAAATTTTTTATATATATTTTAGTTACAATGTGAACACCAGAAAAAGTCACGCACAACTGACAAAAAATGCAAGTAAATTTTTTTTTCCATTATACATATTTAGTTGGATTTCCATATTTTTATTTGTTAATTTTAGAAATGGTTCTGACCCTTTCATCTATGCAATAGAGCCCCATGTTGAATTACATCAAAGTATAATAATGCTAATTTATTTTAATGTTTCAATAAGGATATTATACACTATATATTTCCTTTAAAATTTAAGGATGCATCCAAAGTTTAAAATATTTCCAAATAAATAATGATTCCCGCATTTATACATTATGCGTCCTAATTCGATTTCGAAAATTTCATTAATAAGTTAATTTTTTAGAATAAAATAATTTTGACTTGAACGTACCACAAAAAGTCTTAAATAATTCAGATATTTTGATAAAACTATCCCAAATAATTTTGGTTTTTTTTAACATTATAGTATGGCACATTATATTTTGCCTTTTAAAAAAATATATTTCAATCTGTCTTTTATTTAAGAAATCTTAAGAATAAATTAAGATTTCATGATATCGTAATTAAGTTTATAAATACCATACAACAGGAGATGACATATCTACACTTTTATTTTTATGCCATGTGAATTGAAAAAAAAATAAGGGATAGAAAAAGCATTACTATTACATTTAACATAATGGAATATATATTTTTTTGTCACCAAATAAGAAGTTGAATATCATAGATTGCAAAATTTAATCCCAATTAATTATTTACAATTAAGTTTATTTTGATACCCGGGGCCTGCTTCAAGACTAAATTAGTTAAATTCTCCTATATGATAAAAAAAATAATCCTATTTTTGAAATTATTAATTTTATTTTATGGGACTATTATATTTTTAGCTTAAATCTAATAATAAATATGTATTTTTAACAAATTTAATTCTAATAAATAAAACACAAAAATAAAATTAAGAATACCACCTGAATGAAGAGACTGTAGAAGTAAAAATTTTGGACCAAAAGGAAATCCGTGTGGTAGTAATCAATAGAGTGGTAAAATAAATATCATATCCATTAAATATCGTTGCTAAACATTTAGATTTAGACAATCTTTACATAAGATTTTAGCCAAAATAATATTAAACAAGCCTCAAAATTTTGTTCATAAATTTTCAAACCTTTCTGGCCTCTATAAGCAAAATTCCTTGCATAATATTCTTTATCTAAAATATTGAGTTAACCGTTTTTAGAGCCCTTTAATGCTCAATACTAGTAAATTCATATATCATTTTTTTCATATTAATATTTCTGTCATATAATATCAATGTCCTAAGATGTTTTTTCTGGCTTTAATTTCTTTATAGCGATAATATATTTATATTAAGATGTAAATGTCCAAAGTTGTTTGTTAGACCGTTTTATCTTATTACTTACCTTTCAAAAATAAATATAATATATAAAAAACTGATTTAGAAGTATAAAAAAACAAGAAATATATATTTATTTTGAAATAAGATTTGTAATGAAACCAACGTCTGGGCTTTTGAAGAACGTGAATTATGCGTAGTTGGAAAACTAAATTTCGACGGTGAATTTATATTTAACAATAATGATGAAAATCAAGGGGAAAATTATATTCATAAATATACAATTTTATAAATATTTCCAATATTCTAAAATTATAGGGTAATGGTGTTTGATTATCTTTCTGAAATCAATTATAAGGGATCATAATTATAAAAAATCGGATATTATATATAAATAATTTTAATTATAAAATTTATAGGTGTTGGATTACTTTTTGCTTTAAAATAAAGACATATGCATAATTTGACTGTTGAATTTTGAGCCTTTTTACATAAAAATGTAAATAATAAAATATCGATTTTGAAACAATCAATTTATTCATAATTATTAATTATATAATAATAAATTAACAGCAAAAACATAATAAAATTAAAGTTAACAATTCTCTTTCTATATAAATCATCTTATATAGTATAATTATTTGCATAATATATAATAATACTCGTTGGATTATAATCATTATACAATACATAATAATGTCTCCTTATTCATCAAAATTTAGCAGTTATCTATGATATAGACTAAAGTCTATTGATAAAGTTAGAATTTTTCAATGGCGAATATAATATATAAAAGATTAAAGGACAAAATATATCCTTATTTGGGGACCAGTGTTTATACCCATTAGCATAATACAAGTGAGCATTTTAAATATAAATCTTTTTCCATTTTCCTATTTTGAAAATTTTTTCTTACATAATTTTTTCCCGATTTTTGAGGTGAGGAACAAAAAGATTTAGCTTGGGGATATAGGGGATATACATGATGGATGTATTTAATGCCAGTAATCATTTTTCAGAATAATAAATATTATTTTTAATCAATATTATTTTTATTCTTTTCTAACGATTAAGAAATTTTAGCCCTGATGCTATAAGAGTGTTTTTAAAAAAAGAAATCTCAATGTTCTATACAAACTTAATCTATTCCCTATTCATAGTTCTCATTACTTGCCATGACCTAGCAAATATTATTTTAAAACTTATTTTTGTCTTTTTATAAAATTTTTAACATTTAATTTTTTTTTAATTTTCATTTTTTTTAAAAAATGTTCTTTTTCAATATATTCTTAATCTTTTTATGTATATTTTTTAAAATCACGTTTATTAGATAATGAATAATTTTTTAAAAAATATAAAAAGGGTCATTCTATAAAAGCCAAAGTGTGACTATTACTACAAATTCTCCCCAAAATGCATAATTATAGTTTAAATTAATAATTCGGATTTTTCGTTTTTGAAAAAAAAATTCTTTATGCAATTATTCTGATTTTGTCACCAAAATAATGTAAAAAACTTACATTTCTGCTTGACATATATCCAAAAGAGGATATAACGATGGTGTTAATAATTAGTCAATTTTGATATTTATTCTTTGTCTAGGAATCGGAGACGAGTTGATTTTTTTTAGAAAGAAAGGAATGCATGTCAAATCCTAAATTAATGATTTAACATAAAACCTAATGTATTCAACTATCTTGCTTCTGGTCATCATTTGATTATAAATAAGTAAGCTAAAGATTGTTTTCTGGCCCTCGTATTAAAACAAAGGTATAGAATAATGGTAAAAAATATATATATGAAAAACTGCCTAATTAATTAGTTAGGCTAGAGATCGCTATGGCCAACTCTGATTAGACTCAATGGGGCTCACACATTGAAAGTTTTTTCTCGGACCAGGTCGGTCTGTAAGAGATTGCCCGACCCTATGCCTGACTTAACCTAAATTTAAATATTAAAATTATGCCTAATAATCATTTTGTTTAAGCAAAATATTAATTAAAATCAGGTGTTATTTTTAATCTTACTCATATCATTTATTTATATACGTAATTTCGATTTTCCACATTAACATTTCTTGAATTTAAATTTAGTGACTAGTTAAATCATAATTATTCATATTTGGGTTCTACATGTCTATTTAATATCTTCAATATTATTATGTATTTATATATATATAAATTAAATGAATTTTATGCTCGGTTTACTTTGTTTGGCAATTGAAAATAGCCTATGGGGATGGATGGGATTAAATTTACTTTTATTTAAGGTGACAATTTATGAATAAATACAAATTATGTTTTAAATATTATAAAGTTTAAACTGAAATACCCAAATAATATTAATCATCGGGTTTGGGCCGGGCTCAGGTTGCAAAATAGATATTAGCAGAGCTCTGGTTTGGGTAAGATTATTCCTAAAGTGGATTTTTGGTTAGAAAAAAATTCGATAATATTTATAAGATTAAATTTATATTTTTTTATTAAAAATATGAATAAGTGCAAAAATATTAAAATATTTTTAAAAAAATTTCTTCAGTTAATTAATTCCAAATTATCCTCTCATCTTTAAAAGAAAAATACACAAAATTCAAAAATTACAATATGAATAATACACAGATTGCACAATGCATTTCCAGGAGGCTTATATTTCTTTACATTATCATAACTCTAAAACCTGTTGAATCTCTATATTATATACCTTAATATATAGATATATTTATATCAAAACAAATGAATGAAAAAAATTCTCAATCTCTCTATTATTTATTCTTGTTTTTAATTGTGTTTGCATTTAATTTATTTTTTTCATTAATTAAATGTTTATACTTAAATTAAGCTTGAGGACGAATCTAAGATAAGTTGATAATTAGAATGGTATATTCAAATTAAACAATATGATATAAAATCGTATTTCTTTTTAACAAGCGGCCCTTTGAGGTTTTTGGAATATTAAGGCACAACTGGTGCATTGAATGTTGTTATATATTTCAGAATTTGTGCCTAGCTATTTTAAATTTTAGTTATTGTATCTCACTATTTTTGATTATGGCATACGCAAAAACTTTCTTATTTTACTTATAACTCGCTTACAGTTGGTTCCTCGGGTGTCCAGATAGCAATTAAGAGCTATACAATGGCATAAGTTTCTAAATTTAATTTCACATTTGACTCTTCTTATATTGCTATTAATCTACTTTCTTCTAATTTTTCGATATTTTTAATGAATTCGGAAGTACAATTAATACAACTTATTTTAATTCCGACAGTATCCTAGACTCAATCGACATTAAAATAAACAAAGTAAAATTTAAAAACATGTTAGAAACAGGGATGTGAAACCGAACCAGGACCCTTTTAGTAGAGGGTTCTAGGTTTCAAAAAAAAATTTAAAAATAAAAATATTTTTTTAAAAAATAATATAAATTTTTTTAAATTTTATTAACTTTTTTGGGGATTTTATTATAAATTTATTAATAAGTTATGTTATAAGAAATATGTTGATTATTTTGAAAGTAAATTATTTTGTAGTACAAGTAATAATATTTTAATTTAAATGATAATGCACAACATGTTGGTCACCAATTTGTATGATGCTAGAACGATTATTAAGTTTGAAAGATTTTTGTAATGATTTTATTATAGGAGCATGTGAAGTCATTTTGTAGGAAGATGATTGGTGTCAAATAAATGACCTTACTAGTGCATTAGTAAAAATAACAATATTATGATTACAATCAAAACAATTATGTTTATTTGATTTTTATGGCATATGGATTAGATTTAGAAAAATTTACAGTCCTTTTTATACGAATATTAGAAAACATAAAAATTCGAGACAACAATATTTGCAAAATAGTGTTGTATACTCTTCTATATATTAAGACCCTCGATATCATATTGAGTATTGAACAAAAGCAAATGGCTAAAGACCATCTTAAGGATTTATGGCATACGCAAAACTCCTTTATTTACAATATATTGGAGGCTAATACCTATTTGTTGTAGTGATAATAATAATAATGATAGCAACATTGATAATCTAGAAATTTTACATTTAGATAGACAAAAAAAATCAAATTATCATCAGATAGAAAGGAGGAAAAAAAATGCCTATTGCATCTTAAATAGAAAAGTTTTCAAGAAGTTAAGAGAATAAATAAGGATACAAATATTTTAAAATTCTGGGAAGAAAATTCTCAATATATCCAGAATTATATATCTTATCTAGAATCTTCATGGCTGTATCGGCGACACAAATACAATAAAAAACTGCCCGGACAGTTGTTCGAACTTTCAAAGCACACAAAAAGAAAAAATATCCAACTGATATAGTTTTAGTTATCGCCGTTGTGAGATATTTTATTCTTATATAAAGATCATTCTACTTTCGAAAGTATATAATAAGATGCTTCTCTTCTATCTTTTTGTTGGACGATTCTATCCACTGATATATAAATCTACCGAAACTTACCATTCATTTATTTATATGTATATCAATAAAGGTCGTGACACGCCATTTTGGCTACACATATAAAATATTAGTACATTCAAATTTCATGAAAACTTAGATAAAATGAAAACCAAAATGGTCTGTCACCAGCTGATTTGAATTCAAAGAAGCTCCCAAATGCATTTTAAATTAATGTCGTTAAACAGTTCGATTTGTACCGATTTTTAAAATCGACTAACTCAATATTTTATCTAATATTTTATAGATGGCATAAATGTTTGGACATCCAATAGCAGAATTTCGAGGCTTAGGTAATATTTTTCAGGCAAAATTTTTGAGTTATCCGTTTTTAAAAATTGTCATATTGAGCCGATTAGCAACACTAATTTTAATGAATGAATCATCGTGTAGTTATTGTGTCTGTTTTATCTTAATTCATCTTGACATACGAAAAATAAAATCTTAGCTTTGAAAAAAGTATTTTACTATTAATATAATATAAACTCTTATAATTTAGAAAAAAATATCGATCAAAATAGAACGTTTTATTTTTTATTTTTTTATTTGTAGGAAAAAAAAACCCCTGGAAAAAAAAACCCCGGGAAAAATACCACCGGAAAATAAATTTCCAGGAAAAAAACACGTCGAATTGAGCCTCGATTTCCTCCAGAAACCTGGAACGTGAATCAGAGCACTCTCTCAGATGAAAAACGAACAAATAATTAATGCGAAGGTTGTAACATCGTTTTTCTAATCTGGTTGGGAATAAACACCCATCAATCTCTGTACTCATTAAAAAAATGAAATGCGAGGTGGCTGCCGATGAAACCAAACTGAAGGATGGCGCGTAGGTAGTTGGAAATCGAAAACAAAATCGCAGAGTTCTAACAACCAGATTCGGCTAAAGAAACTTTTACGAAGAATACCGTGATGGGGTGCGAAGCCTTCCAGATTTTATAAGAGCGATTTCCTTCAATATTCGATGTCAACCC